TATACTTAATGACTCATTAGTTACCTGTAAACAAGAGATGACTCTCTGGCTCCCCCAGGAGACCATCAAGAGTCTCTGTAAGCATCAGAGAAACTGGCAGGATGTATTGAAAAGGGATTTTAGTTTATCTGAAGCTGGAAATCCGGCTGTAGGGGCTGTAGGACGTATCGCCTGGGAAGCTGGAAAGGCGATAAAAGCAGATCAAGGCTCAAAAGATTTAGGTCTTCTGGGTATTCAAAGCAGAAAAGCTCAGCTCTCAGGGAAGGAAGCTGCTCCGACAGCCAACCCAGAGATCCACATCCTCTTCATCCTGGCGGGAGAGGTCTGAGACCCGGACAGGCAGCTCAGCAACAGAGCTGATCCCGGCCCGACTCTGTTCCAGGTGCCCCTGCTGGCCTCACTACATCTAATTTATCCTCTAAATGCAACATGAGCTGGAGGACACATCCTGGGGCCTTGGAACCACATAGATTTGGCTTCCAATCGCAGCTCGGCTTCTCAGCAAACTCTGGTCTCCAATTTTCTCATCTGAAATGAAAAGGATTCTAATACCTACGAATGGTTGCGAGACGCATTCTGCTTGGTGCACTGCACGTGCACAAGCTTATAAGTGTTGGCTGTTGTTTGGACTCCAGGGAGAGCCTATGCCTGTAGCAAAGAGTGAAAGGTTTATAGGATGGGGTGGAGGGTGGGCACTGAGGGATGGCAGACACAAGAAGCATTGCCAAGCCCTCGATTCATAACGGCTAAGGATGAGAATCTGCTTGGAAGCTGGTATGACCTCATTCTGTTGAAATGAGACATAGGACCCCAACACACCTGGAGAACAGCCAGCATGTCTGCTGGAACCTCCCCCTCTCTCTGCCTTTGCCATACTCTGTCCTCTGAGGACTCATTTGCAAAACAATTACTCAGTTTGGGTTGGATGTAGTAGAGTGACCTGACAAGGAGAATGTAGAAGTAGAAGTGACCTAACAAGGAGAATGATGAGCCTGAAGCAGATCAGGCATTTGCGACATGTTCCCATTTCATCAGGGTCTAGACAAGCCAGACAAGCAGTGATGTAATATATTTGTTATTGTTGCTGATGCTATAGTAACACAATTCAGTTAATCTTGGGGTTCTCGCCTCAAACAGTTTCAGCTGTAGCACATTTTTTTTTTTTGGTTTGCATTTCAAGTACTATATTTGTGAGAGACTGGTTGTTTTTTATCCTTTCCAATTTTAACGAGTCCTCTTATAATATGACTTAAATGATGACAAATCAAGTAGTAAGCATAAGGTGTATTCTGTGAACATTTAGAAAGTGATGAAAAATAACTATCGCCAACTAAAGAAGCCAATGATGTTTTACGGTTGTTGCATCTCAGTTTTTATAAATCTGCTAATAGGACTCGATATGATACCTACGCTTTAGGATTGGGGGGAGTGAGCCCAAGATGCATAAGTGCC